TCAGGCGCAAACAAATTCAAAATGGCCGCCACCCGGCGTCTAGTACATAAAAATAATTATCTTTGCTTGTGTATGTCCGTTATATATGGTTTTTGGGTCTTAGTAATGTTTTAAGGGTCGAGGATTTCATTAATCATATAACTTGCTAAGTGCATGCGTTAGAACGAAAAATGATTAATTATCTGTGCAGCCAAAATCCAAAATAACCGCCAGCGGACTGCAAAAGAAATTAAAAGACCAGGAAATCACCTTTAATGGTAAGAATGAAGAGGTTTTATCTTTTACCATTGTAAATTTAATAAAACAACAATTTTCTGAAATGCCTGTACAATGATTTAATTGTTTGGGGTTTAACGTCCTAGCAGCGGCCAGGGTCATACGAAGACTGGTACGTAGAGAGACACCGCCTGAAACAGAAAGTAGATAGAAAAGAAAGAGGCCTGAAATATAGAAAACGAAAAATATCCCAAGTGATGCAATGGGGGCAGCAGACCAATTTTCTGGTGATATAATCTCCTAGGAGGTCATCGACATTGAATCAATGTCGGATGTCATTAGATTTGAAGGTGGGCTACTGACGCAGAAAACCAATAATGATGAACTGATTGGTATCATTGCAAAGGCACCAACTAAATCTTGTGAACCTGATCATACCCGAAACGTACCTTACAAAACAATGTGAGAATGTATGCTCATTCAGCATGTCTTCTCAGCAATAAATATCCGGTTGAAAATCGCTTGAGTGAAAATCCCAATGAATATTTTTCGCGATCACCTACAATCTTCTGACCGTCCAGGTCATAACACAACATACGCTTTTCATCGTACAACATGACGTAGCCGTGTTCTCGGTCAACAACTATTTAGCAGTTCTAAAACTACTCGTTATTGCATTTTCATTTGATGTAATTGATCATGGCGTATATTCTAGTGCCTGGAATATGCATAAAGTATATTTGCTAAGGTACCATTAGGGGGCAGCGAGTGGTCGAAGTAACACTCAATATGACGACAGTGCAGCCTTTATTCAAACATACCCTGTCTCCTGCATACACACACACACACATGCACGCATACACTCCATCCATGGAGGCACGTCCTTTATTGACCGTAGCTGTCAATAGAACGTTAAACAGAATTAAACCTAAACGAAACTATTTAATACCAATAGGATGCATCCGCCTGTCACAAATTGAGACGTCCATATGTTATGCTGATGATACCCAGGCGTGCAAGGTCGCCAGACCTCTTGACAACTAGGGGTCTGTCTCATTGTGAGCGGGAGCATGCTTGATGGACACCAAAGAACCTTATCACTACACATTGCCAAAAACGGTTATGGTCGGGAGACTGTCGTCAAGGAACTTGCATACGTGTGTGTCGACTAGTCTGCTGGCTATTCGATCTGATCTGAGATAAAGTTCACAAGCTAGTGAAACATTGGGATAAGGAAATGGATTAAGGAATAAAGGACATGCAAAATACAGTGTAGCATGGGGATCGGTATCAGTTGGCCTTCCTGCTAATTCGATCCGTCATTTGGACATGGAATAGGTCTGAAATAATTAAGGTAAAATCGACAGCTCAATAAATTACGCAATAACGGGGTAACACTTTGGATGATTACAAAGTAATACAGCATGGTTCGGAAAGTATGACGATCCAAGTGCAATAGGTCAGCACTATATATAGAACTTAAGAAATAGCGTATGAGTATTGAAACAAATAATATATTGTCACGTTGTGTTTTCAGGTTTTGTCGTAAGGACGATATTCTCACCGCCCATGAATACAACCGACAGGCACCCGCATCAGGACTTTATCAACGGGCGAACGAACATTTTCAAACTAGATATTCTGAAAACACAATGGGACAACCCGTTTCATTGGTTGGTTGATGGGTTTATGGACTACACTTCACGGGCGAAGCCCGTGTTCGGTCGTCTTGAGGGGGTAAGACTCCAGCTTACCGGGCCCTCGGAGATTCAAAATGACCTTGCCCGTCCAGGTCACGCCCTAAGGTCGGTCAGCTCCTTCGATGCGGATAGGCTGTCGCAGCTACATACTGCACGCATATACTGTACGGGAACACGTGAAACATGTCCTTCAAACAGCTTCACTACCCTCCTATGACAGTTTTATCTATGTACTGCGTTATATAGCGTCAATCACTGCAAGACTAAAGATACAAATTTTGTGCGGAAAGTATTTATGTCAAAGAAGAGGACGAACTAATAGATACAGGTAATAGATTCATGACACCACCTTTTTCATACCCACAGTTATACCTTAGACAATATTGCTTCCCAAAAAAGGATTTCTGTTACCTGAAAATGATGTAATTATGAAGGTCTTTTTTTATGAGCAGCGCTTTTAAATGAATAGCGGTAACTCGCCTTAGCAGAATGACGTTACCTCGCACGTGCACATATTCCAAAAACCATATCGATTCCTATGAAACTAGATATTGAACATCAATTTTCATTTTATACTAGTTTTGGAACTCACGGAACATTTCGGAGGTATATGATGATTTTATGCTGAATGAAAACATGTTTCCGAGTATATTGCAAATTATGCCGCTCTGTAGACCTGGTGTCCAGCTACCTGAGCGGCAGGATACAGCAGGGGAGACTAGGCCCCAAATGCAGCGACTGGTTGAAAGTGCTGAAGGGAGTACCGCATGGATCTATACTGGGGCCTCTTCTTTTTAACATTTTTATAAATGACATGTTTTTATATGTAAAGTCATCAAAATTGTACAATTTCGCCGATGACAACACTGTAAGCGATACAAACAGAGACTCACAAGTTTTAAAATCAAATACAGAAAAAGATTGTGTACATTTATTGGAATGGTTTGATTTAAATCATATGAGGGCAAATCCTGAAAAATATTAAGCTATATGCTTAGGAAAGGGATCTGTTGATATTTTTAAATCTTTTAATATTGGAAATGTAAACATTGAGCCAGAAGCTGTTAAACTCCTCGGAGTACATCTTGACACCATGTTAAATTTTGAATTTCACGTCTCCGAACTATGTAAAAAAAAGCCTCACGACAACTAGCTGTTCTGAAGCGCTTAGGCAATTTTTTGACGAAACAAGGTAGGAGTGTGATATACAACTCTTTTATTGTCTCGAATTTTAAATACTGCCCTCTAGTTTGGCATTTCACCAGTATGGGGAGTGTTAAGAAACTTGTAAAGGTACAAGAGCGTGCTCTTCGTTTTATCCACAATGATTATGTCTTCTCTTTTACTGAACTTTTAACATTGTCAAATGCAGATGTTTTACATGTAAGAAGAATTAAGGATATGAGATGTGAAGTTTTTAAAATTCTGAACAAACTTTCTCCTGATTAGATCCATGATCTTCTAAAACTTAAGTCTTCAAATTATAATCTAAGACAGGAAAATGCAGCGGAGGTGCCTAGGGTTAGAACAGTTAAGTATGGACAGAAATCTTTCACATTTGAGGCTACTAGGGTGTGGAAGGTAGACAACTTCCCGGGTTTCCTCTGCTGACTGATTTTTAACCATTTTAGTGCTAAAATCAGGTTTAATATTTTTAGGTAAATAGACTGTGATATAAATTGCTGGGATTATTGTAATATTTTATGTATTGAATCAAATTTTACTACTTATGTTACTATTAGTTTTCTCTCTTAATATTATTCTTCTTTACTACATGAAACGCTGTTTTTTAATCCACACTATGTTAGTGTATATCATGTCAATTTTTACCCTTTGTTATATTAGCATGTATGTACAATACACTTGTATAGATTACAGATAGTGTTTCTAACATTCAGTGTAGAAACACATCGTTCATAAATATGTCGACTCTGAATTCTATATATAAAAGAAATAATATAAATAAGTGTCAAGCCTTGTGATAATATCAAAAAATAAAAAATTGGGCAATTGAATGTGACATTACCGTGTATTTTTCGGTAATGAAAACAATGTCTGCTATGCTATTTATATTATCTCATTACTACTAATACTATTACATTATGTTATTGTTATTTTATAACTTGTGTTTGTCGCAAAATAGCTCTCAGGAGCTAATGTTACATGTTGATATGTATGCGACTCTAAATAAAGCTTCTTGTATCTTGTATGATAATATCGGGGGAAATCTTAAAGCCTAGAACATATTGATAGTACCATGAAGGTCGTGTTTCCTTACTTAAAAAGAGTTTCGATACCATCCAGCGTACAATTATGTACAATGCCATGTATACACCAGAATCATTATTCTCCCTGCACGTCGGGACCGAGGAACGAATACATCCGCTGTTAACCACTGCATGTATTGTAAGAGGCGACTAATGCGGTAACTCCCTGCAGAATTGGGGATTTGTTTTTGTGCCCTCTACTTGGGGACACAAAAGAGATCAAAATAAATCTGCTTCACCCATTACAATATTTGGAATCTTTTTTTTTTTATTTCTACTTCTAATTACTTTTTTATTTTCTAGCGCCTTGCTTGACATCACCTCACTTTTGAACGTTCGCCCAGGTGAGAAAGAAGGCCTTCACAATGGTAGTTGTTATTCCCTGATTAAGGTGTAACGTTGGACGACCGGTGGGTAGCTGAGAGAATACAGAACGATTTGTTATACAATATCTACAAGTTTATTTACAATAATTATTGAAGAAAACCCCCATAAGTATGTACTCACACTCACAAACACACATTCATACATTCAACACTAAATGGCATTACTCCGGTTGGTGGAGTCACAGTTGCCGCTTGTATACCAATAGTTCCACTGCCCATGTGGGCAATACACCATACAATATGGAAAGGATCCGATGGACTAAACAAGTCTCACAAACTTGTGTTCCGCTTCACCATATATTCCACGTCCGCTAATCATGGATATATACCCCACCGCAGAAGGGTTTAGCACCGATGTGCTGAGAACGGTCTAGCACCGATGTGCTATAATGCAGGCCTCCGGCTCCGCAGATGACCTGAGGACTGCTGCCTCACTGACGAATGACGTCAGTACAACTATGAGTTGTCTGCCCTTGTAGAACTGACCCACTGTGTGTAGCACCAGTTGTCTGCCCTTGTGGAACTGACCCAATGTGTGTCGCGCCAGTTGTCTCGTCCACATTCCTCTCACCTACCAACCCGTTCATG